CTTAAGCGATTCTCTTGCCTCAGCCTCCCAAGTAGCTAGGACTACAGGGGCCCGCCACAATGCCTGGCCATTTTTTGGTTGTAGTTATCATTGTTGTTTGGCAGGCCCGGGCTGGATTCGAACCCACCAGCTCTGCTTTAGGTGGCTGGTGCCTTAGCTGCTTGAGCCACAGGTGCTGAGCCTATATTTTTCATTACATAGGTTTTACAAACATATGTATGTGTGTATACATGTGCACATGTGTTTTAGTATATATGATGTGCCCATTTGACAAGATCTGCTAGGTATCCTTCAAGATCCTTCAGTATTGTTATTAGAGAAATATATAGAAGCAGCAAACTGCCCACAAATACGTGATCTCACTTAACATTCCTAACTTGTAAAAAGGGAAGTCAAAACAGTATCTGTTTGATAATGTGAAAATTAAACGAAGTGATGTATATAAACTGCTAACCTTAAGGCTGGTATATAAACACATATTAAACAATACATTCTTATTTTTTCCAGTACATAGTAGGCAAAGGTATGTTATGGTAAATTTTCTTTTTGTTGAGACAGAGTCTCACTTTATCACCCTCAGTAGAGTGCCGAGGTGTCACAGCTCACAGCAACCTCAAACTCCTGGGCTCAAGCAATTCTCTCACCTCAGCCTCCCAAGGAGCTGGGACTACCACTGCCCCCACAGCCACTGCCTGGCTTTTTTTTGTTGCAGTTGTCATTATTGTTTTTTTAGCTGGCCCAGGCCAGTTCAAACCCTCCAGCCTTGGTGTATGTGGCTGGCGCCTTACCCACTGAGCTACGGGAGCGGCCCTTCCCTTCTTCTTTTTAAAGACAGGAATGGGGGGAGGTGGACTCGAACTCCTGGCTCAAAGGATCTTTCCCGCATCAGCTTCGCGAGTAGCTCAAGCCACCTGTCCGGCTTTGATTGAGGTTTTGTTGTTGTTATCCCCCTCCGCAACACGAGGTGCGCTGCCGCTTCCAGGACGGCGGACCCAGAGCCAGGATGGCGGAAGTCCATCTAGCCGCGGCCACCACCATCTTGGAACACAGGCCCGCCTCACCCTATTCATAGGGCCGTTTTTTAAGCCGTTTTAGTCGCGTAAGCAGATCCCCTCGCAGCGACACCCAGCGTCCTGCCTCCTTTCACTCTCAGTTAAATAATCGGTCTTTCCCTAGGGCGAGTCTTATCCTTTTGGGAAACAATAAAGGCTGCCTCTTCCGGGATCCGGCCCCACCCCGTGACCTCAGAAGTACACTTCCGGGATGCGGAAGTGAGCCGTAGCTCCGCCCTCGCCCACTCTCTCTTTCCGGTGCGGACTCTGGAGACGTTGCGCAGGTAAGAGAATTTCGGCGCTGACAATCCAGTGGCATCCTTTGGCTGAGGGGCTTAGTGAGGTTGGGGGCACGGGCCTGGGGCCTTTCCCTTGAAGCTGAGCCAGGTGCTGGGCGAGAGACGCGTGTCTGGTCCACCTGGATTCTGCCGTACCCGGGATCGAGTTCGCGCCAGGTCTCGGAAGGCTGCCGTCTTGCCTCAAGGAAAAGCTTGTGAGTGCGGATCCTGCTCTTAAGGTGTCGGCTTTGCGCTGCGGGCCCAGCCACGTTTGTACGTCCGCAAAGTGTGGTTGGGGAGCGAGAACGACCCGGTAGATGTGGGCTTACCTCCCCTTAGTCTCGCTAGCTTTCAGAGTTATAGTGCTGGGCCGCACCTGAAGTTGAGTTTGCTTTCTTGGCAGCAAAATAGGAATAACAGTAACATCGATTTAATAAAGTTGTAGTTATGATTCGAGAAAGGAATGCAGGGAAAACTATGATCCTGTGTTGGATGCTTCCTAAATCTGGCTGATTTCTTGCCATTGCTGAGTTGGGCACTTTTTAAGTTCTGGGTGCTCACGACCCAGCATCAATGAATCGGGAAACTGCAAATTTGCCGAATGGCTACTATGTCAAAACTTTTTCCATGGCTATGGTCTACTGGAGCCTTTCTAGGCTTCTCCAGCCAGTACTTTGGGCCCCTCTCTTGTGGGCCTCTACTTCCCTCCAGTAGTTCCTTCCACTGGCTCTTGCTCTTTAATTTGGGGATAGGAACAAACAGCTAACTTTGTACACCCAAGACTTACACTTGGAGTATTTGTTGTGCTCACATATTAAAGTTATACTATAAAGAAGGACTGGAGAGATCTAGGAACACTTGAGACAGACTTTCAGGTCTAGGGTTGTTAACTTGTGGAGTAGAGGCATCCTCTGGCATAATGCAGAGTGTTGAGCTGGGGATTGACACTTTGTTTCTAGGTTTGATATGCCATTGTTTTTATGAAGACATTTCTGTCTTTGTCTTCTCCATTTACAGGGGGTATAGCTTAGTTCTGGTCCTCCAGAAGTCATCAGTAAGTGTTAGGAAGTTGTTCAGAAGGCCTAGGGCTTTAGGTAGAAGTAGTCATACTAGCTAGCCCTCCACTTTCTCATTCTCTTCTTTCTTTTCTCTTGTCAGCATCTCTCTTGCTCATGTCCCTTGACAGTATGATTGCACTTAAACCATGCCAGGTTGTTAGAGTTCTTTGATTTCGCAGACACATCCAATGTCTGGGATAGGTCTTTACCATTAGCCTTCCTTTTGGGTATTAATTTTAGTACCTTTAGCATTTGATTGTAGAAGTTTAAGGGCTTCGTTCTAAATAGTAGTAAAGGATGCCAGGAGACAATTGCCACAGGATGGGAGGTAGCATTTAGGTTGGTTTTCAGGGGGATCGGCTGGAACCCAGAAAATAGGAGGTGAGGCTTCAGGGCTGTGTTGATAAGAGATCCTTGAATGCTGAGTTCAGGCTAGCACAGAAATTGACCCATGCAGTGGGTTTTTTGATTCTTCTTTTCTTCAATAAAGGGTCTTTAGAACAGTGTCCATTGATTACATGAGTCTATATTGGTCTTGGACTTATTACCTTTTTGGAAGTTTCCTTTCAGGCTTCTTTGAACTTCACCTGTAAATGATTTGGGTCCAGGAAACACAGAAGCACTT